CTCCAGACTGGGAATGTTACACTCCAGACTGGGAATGTTACACTCCAGACTGGGAATGTTACACTCCAGACTGGGAATGTTACACTCCAGACTGGGAATGCTATCCTCCAAACTGGGGACGTTATCCATCAGACTGGGAATAAGAGGGTGGGGATGCAGCACTCAGGAAGGTGATGGGACTGGACAAACCTGGGGGAAAGTCAAACCAAAGGCAGGCTGCCAGGAGCAGGGACAGGAGCACAACTGCACAGAAAGGGTTCACATTCCTCGTTATGTCTCAGGGTGGCATCCACACCTCAGAGGAGCAAATGAACATGGGAATAATGCTCATGGAATCCCAGACTGGGGTGGGAGGGACCTTTTAAGCCCATCCAGAGCCACCCCAGCCATGGCAGGGACACCTCCCACTGTCCCAGGCTGCTCCAAACCCATCCAGCCTGGCCTTGGGCACTGCCAAGGATCCAGGGGCAGCCCCAGCTGCTCTGGGCACCCTGTGCCAGTGCCTCACACCCCCCCAGGGAAGGCAGCACCTCCAAACGTCGTGGGGGTGGCACTTCCAGCTCCACACTCCCTCCAAACCTGGGCAGTGTCTCAGCTTATCAAACCTGTCCTTTTTCCTGGGCAGCGCTGCCGTTCCAAACCTTCCTGCTGCCCTATTAATTAAGTGCTGTGCAGCAAACGAGTGCTGACCCCAGAGCACACCCCGGGGCTGTGGCCCTGAGCCCTGCTGTCCCTGCAGCAGCAGGAATTTCCAGGGAAAAGCAGGAGCTGTGTGTTTGGAGCCTACGTTTTGCACTGCCAGTCGTTGGCGCTGAACAGCCCCCGGCTCTTCTCCGCCAGCGTCTTCCCGATCTCCGTCCCCCCTGCCTTCATCATCTTGGCCTCCGTCGTCTTCTCTGCAGGGAGAGACACACAGCTCCTCAAACAGCAGCCTCAGAACTCATGGGAAATGTTCAACAGCTTTTAAATAAAAATAGGTGGACTTCTCAAACAGCTTCGGGTTCGGTAGCAATTTTTACTGCTATTTTATGGGGCGGAGAGGGGACAAGGTGTGTGCTGCTGGGAACTCACCTCTGCCGCATCTGTTGCAGCTCGTTCTCCTGGCGAAGTTGACGTTCCCGCACCTGGGCACGGAGCAGAGCACGGGGCCGGGATTAAACCGGGCTGGACTCGCCCATCGGGGGCTCCGCACCCGCCCCGAGCGCCCCGATTTACCCACGCCGAACCCCCTGAGGCCGTGCCGGGCCCGGGGCCGTGTCCCCGCCCCCGAGCCGGCGGCCGCGGCTCCCGGTGTCCCTGCGCCTGTCCCGCTCCCGCTCCCGGTCGGTCCCGGTCCCGGTGCCGTTCCCGTTCCCTGCCTCGCTCCCCGTCCCCGCTCCCGGTGCTCTCCGCTCCCTGCCCCGCTCCGGTTCCGCGCCCCGCCCGGCTCCCGGCCGTTCCCCTCACTTCTTGTCGGGGCAGATCCAGTCCCCGTCGCTCACGCGGAAGTTCTTGGTCGCCATCTCGGGCCGAGCCGGGCCGGGCCGAGCGCCGCCGCCACACGCAGGACCCGGGCCCTGCGCCGCGGGGCTGCCCCGCCGCGCGCCTGCGCCCAGCCCTGCTCCGCCGCGCGCCTGCGCCGGGCCTGCCCCGCCCGCCTTTTGCTCAGGCAGCGCGGCGGACACCTCAGCCTCAGCCGCGCCAGCGCCCCCTGGCGGCGGGAGGAGCCGTGAGGGGATCCGGGGGCGGGAACGGGAAAAGGGAAAAGGAAAAGGGAGCGGGAACGGGAAAAGGGAAAAGGAAAAGGGAGCGGGAACGGGAAAAGCGCCCTCTGGGGAAGAACTTTCCCCAATACCTGAAGGGCCCCTGGGGATAACGATCAGTGTTGGAGTCCACGCGTTATTTAAATGAATACTGTGTATGTGGGTTAATGAGCCGTGGTTTGTGGGCGGGATCGTGGCCCTGCCCTCTGAGGGACGCTGCCCGCTGTGCCCTGCGTGTCCCCGGGCTGCCACGGCCGCGCCATCCGCAGCGCTCTCCCGCTGCTCCTTCCCTTGTTCCCTGGGGTCTGTGGGAGCGGGCAGGATCTGCCGAGGTGTGCCCAGCCCCGTCCATGGACAGCGCTCTCCCGCTGCTCCTTCCCTTGTTCACGGTGTTTGTGGGAGCGGGCAGGATCTGCCGAGGTGTGCCCAGTCACGGCCGTGCACAGCGCTCGTTCGCAGCTCACGCCGCTTTCCTGGCACTTCTTCCTCTCCCTTGTAGCCACATCCTGGGGAAAAGCACCTGGGATCCGGCTCTGGAGCTGGGCTTTATCCCTCTGGGCGGTGGAGATGGCAGCGCTGCCGCTGGTGATGTATAAAGGTGTAAAACTCCCCGAATCGGCTCCCGGGAGGATTCGTGTCCTGCTGCAGTCGCTACAGCAGGTGGCACTTGAGGAACGCGTTTTCCATGAAAAAAAACCACCCGCTTTTCCACGGAATGCTTCAAATACCAACGTATCAACACGAGGCACCACCAGTGTGGGGCTGGCCCTGGGACCCGAGCCTGGATTGTCCTCGGGCTGCTCCTGGCACAGGACACCGAGCAGCAAAACTATTAATTTTATTCTGAAAAACTACTAATTTTATTCTGAAAAGCTATTAATTTTAATCTGCAAAACGATTAATTTTACTCATGCAATGCAGCTGAAAATCCTAAGTAATTAACAACAAAGAGTCCACAGAAAAGGAGCCGCCTTACAACTGGCTAAAAACCATCTCAATTTAAACCAACTATATAAATTATCTTTTTTACCATACCCGTGCAAGCCATTGATCCATTTTAATCATCTGTCCTTATTTAAAGCTCTTTCCCATAAAAGAAATGTAACAAAACTTTAGATTTCAGGCGTGGCTCCAGGCATGCCTCCTGCCAGCGGGATATTCCCGGTATTCCCTGCCTGCTCCTGACCAACCTGCACTGCCCAGCTGCTCCTGAGGGTTCCAGGGACAGAACAACCTGGAGCTGATTCATTCCCGGGTGCCTTTAGGGACAAGCCTTTCATAAAAGTGGGAATATCCATCAGAAAGTGTCATGTCTGGGAGAGAAAACCAGCGGGGCCCGGGGAGTAAATTAACAAGTGATGGAAGGGATTCTTTAGCTGTGATGTCCTTCTCTGTACCAAAGAAATGTTGGCTGAGCAGGAATGTCAGAAGGAAAGCTGTGCGCTAAACTCTGCTGATTTCATATTTAGGAAATTTGATGGAATCCCAGGGCAGTTTGGGTTGGGAAGGACATTAAACCCCACCCAGTGCCCCCCCAGCCATGGCAGGGACACCTCTCACTGCCCCAGGCTGCTCCAAACCCATCCAGCCTGGCCTGGGACTCTCCAGGGATCCAGGGACAGCCCCAGCTCTGAGTAAATCTGAAAAGCCAACTGGGAACTGAAAAATAGCCCCAAACCTTTAATTTACGACTAAAGCAAAGCCCAGGTGGACAAAGGGGGGACCTGGAGTCCCCAGACACAATTCAGTGTCCAGTCCTGTGACTGTCCAGGATGTTCCCCTTCTGAATGAGCAGCTTTGCTCCTGCATTTCTGTGCTGCTGCTCCTCTCTTCCCGTGTTCCTCCCACAAAGCTCCATTTAAATATCTGCCCCCCGTATCCCAATAGCTTGTGAACACTTTTATTGGATTCCTGTTTCTATCACGGCACGTTTGGCCTTCAGACGAGGGTGAGGAATTGATAATAACCCGGTAAATGAGAAATACATCAGCCATCATTTTACCGTAATGAAAGCGAGCAGTTGAGAATGAATCAATGTGCAGAAAACTGTTTAATTGGCCCAGCTCTAGACAGCCAATTCCTACCAAGGAGCCCTGAAAATCAGTTTCCTGAAGAAAAACTAAATGGTACAAAGGCCAGGAAGATCAAAGGCAGGTAATTAAAGGAAGGTTGTGCCTGCAGCCCTTCCCAGCCCTTCCCGGGGTGCTGCGTTCGTGCCACGCTCTTCACTCAGCAGCTCAGGGCTCCCAGGTTTTTAAGCATCACTTTAAAGCACTTAATACATTGTTGATGCCTTCCAAGACACAGTAATAATAATAATAATAATAGTAATAGTAATAATTCCAGCTCGGAGTTAAAGGAGTGCTTCCAGCAGGGCCATCTGGCTGCTCTGGGCCCTGTTTGATCTCAGTGTTTGCACCGAGCAGGGGCTCAGTGTCCTGCTCCTGGGAGAGCCAGGAACGGGGGCTGTGGGGCTGTGCTGGCCCCTGCAGGTGCCACAGAGCCCTGGGACACTCCCAGCTCTGGGCTTTGTGTGGAACCCAAGCCATGCTGGCCAGGAGGGTGCCCGTGGACAGCTGGCCATCCGTGACTTGTTTGGGTGACACCTTTGGTTGTGGAGCTTCCCACACAGGTGGTGAGGTTTAGATTCAGAGATTGGGCAGGAATTGCTCCCTGGCAGGGTGGGCAGGCCCTGGGATAGAATTCCCAGAGCAGCTGGGGCTGTCCTTGGATCCCTGGCAGTGTCAGGTTGGACATCGGGTTTGGAGCAGCCTGGGACAGTGGGAGCTGTCCCTGCCACACCAGCCTGTGATCCCGTGCTCATCCAAGAAACTGCCCTGTGGTTGCTGTCGCTGTTTTCCTTTCACTTTTCCTTCTGTTCCCCTCCTCTGTGATGTCTTTCAGGAAAGGGCTGCAGGATTCCCCTCTGGAATCAGAGGGCTCTGTCAGACAAGAGAAAAAAACACCAAATCTTGTCATTTGTTCCTCTTCCAGATCATTCCCCGAGGACAGCAACTCCTCCTCCGGCATTCCAGCGTCTCTGGAAACCTCGAAAGGCTTTTCCAGCATTCCAGCCGGGCAGTGCAGGAGGGCAGGGAGCGGTTCCAGCCTGGCACCCGTGGGATGTTTGGGATGGGGCTGAAGGGCTCCGTGTTCCCGTGGCACCGCAGGAGCGGCGCTCCCAGCAGGAAACACTCTCTCCCTGTTCTCTAAACCTGCTCCTTGAAGGGAGGGGATGTGTTCCAGAAAAGCAGACATGAAAAAGGCAATATTTATAAATTTCAAAAGTGCGTTTGGACCCCAGAGGTGAGATGCAGGATAAATAATGCCCCTGCTGACAGCATTAATTAATTACTGTGCTTCAAAGAGCCTGATTTTGATCACAGATTTCTTGGAGCAAAAGCATTTAATGGGCAAGTGTATGAGTAAAGGTCAGACAGGTAAAAAGAAGATCTAATATATATATTTGTAAAAGGCAGGTTGGAAAAGGTTCATCATTTAGGGAGTGGTTATCAAGGAAAACAGGACGTGATTAACCTTTGCTGTGTGCTGCTCCTGCCCTGCTCTCCTCACACCACCTAACGAGGAATTCCTGGAATTCCTGGCTCATCCTCTCCAGGAATGTCCATCCCCCCTGTCCTCTGAGCACCTCCTGCTGCCAGCCTGCCCCTCCCTGGAGGCTGCAGCTCTTCCTGGGGAGGTTTCTTTGCTTCCAAACCTTCCTCACCTTCGGCTTCGCACCTCCTGTGCAAGGCTTTGCAGATCGAGTCCCTCCTGCAAATTTCAAGTTTACTCCTTGAAATTTGGTGTGAAGTCGACAAAACTTGGGCATAGAAATAATTAACCCCTTCACAGCAGTCGATTTTAACCACAATTTCCTACTTTGTTCTTGTAAATTAAATGTATTTGCCAAAGCATCTCTTCCTTTGGCAAGCTGCCTCCACAAACAAGCGCTACAGTCTGTTCACACGGATCCCAGTCCACGGGAATGTGCCAGTTGTACATCCAAAGGGTAAGGAACACTTCCAAAAGAAACTGCACCAACAAGTTTTTGCACTAATTTTAACTAAAATATTATTACTCCCAGCCCTGTTCTTGTTGAAGGCATTGAATTGCACCGAGCTCTGAGGGCAGAATTTGGCTCCTCTGGGAGCTGAAGTGACTCCTCACACCTGGAGTTCACTGCTGCTCTCTGCTTTTTGCATCTCACTGACAGGAAATATTTGGCTTCTTCTCCAAATGGTGTTTTAACAAAATAAAACAAGAAGCAGCCAGAGAGGGGGAGTTTGGCTGAAGGAGCTGAACAGCCCCGAGGAGGGAACAGCACAGAGGGGCCTCCATGGTTTGCTGGGTCACTCCTAGAGCTGTGACCTGATCCTCTGGATGTCCAGCGAGATCCAGGAGTGTTCCTTGGCTGCTGGAGCATCTGGGGATCCCGCAGAAGGCTGATTCCATGTCCTGGTTTTTACAGGCAGTCCTGCTGCAGCTCTGCTCAGTGCGGGAGAATGGGTCTCTGCTCCTGCAGGGCTCCCTGCTCCAACAGCCAGAGCCTTCTGCGAGTCCTGTTCACACACAGGAGTGGCCACCGAGGAGCAGAACCCTTTTAAAACCCCACCTCTTCTCGCTTTTAGCACAAAAGAAAGCTCCTGGCAAACCTTGTAACGAGGAGTTCAAAGTGGTTTCAGTTCACATCGTGCTCAACCCCCCGTGTGACCCCCAAGCAAAGCAGGTCCAGTGGCTCCAGAGCCTGCCCTGGGGATCTCCAGCTCAGGAGGGTTTGTGGGGCTGACAGAGC